AACCGATATCCACGGTATTACATTCGTTGGAAAGGTCTCGGGCTCCGTCAGGTTTATAGCAAGAAAATTCACTAATCACCAAACGAAATCTATATATATAAAAGAAAGTCGTGTTAGTTACACTATTTATAACTCAAGAACGGCTCAATCGATTTAGATGAAAATTGGCAGGGAGGTAGCTTAGAACCCATAGACACATAATACTTTTTATACAATACTTTTTTTTACTTTTTACTGAAAATCACGAACGGGAACGGGGGAAAATGGGATTGCGCGTACGAAGTCGCGGGCAGAAGCTAGTGTTACATAAAACGAAGCCATCTGGCGAAACGGAGTTCGCCGGGTTTGCTAGTATCATTATAATTATGATTTGACAAAAAATCTTTCATTAATTAATATTTTCTCTTCAGAATTTTTGAGTAATAGGACCGCATTTCAACCACCTACGGATAATTTGGACAACCTCAATTATTCCGGAATACGGGAACCCGAACCTACACAATTCAAAACTATGTCACAACAACTAAATATAATAATGAATGCAATGTAGTCTGGAGCCAACATCTAGGAAGTAACAACAAGCAGGCCAGTAAGTTAGTCGACGAATAAAATATGCAGAACTATTAACTAGACGTAATGAACAATGAAGTTTAAGATTAATTGACTAGTTCAGTTTAGTTCGCCAAGTTCAGTTCAATGTTAATTTCTGAGTTCAACTTAAAACTGACCTATCTTCTATTAATATTGCAATTGTACAACTGCCTCGTTGGCCATGTAATCGCAAGTGCCACTACCGGGCAAGGGGACTCAGGTTCAATTCCCGGGTCGGGCTAAGTACTACTGGGTTTTTAAAAATTCTTAGTAATAGCACGAATACTGGAAATATGCCCAGTATATAGCAATAGGCTCACCACCTACATTGGACTCATAACATAAATAATGAAACGTGGGTGTCACATTGTACAGTGGCATGAAGTGCCGTAATGTACACCTATTTTTCTTTAAGGGGAAAGTCATTGAATGCCTTGTCCCACTTGGGTGAAGCAGGAGGGAGTGGCAGACTCTTACTGATTAAAACAACCCCGTTTCTACTCCTGCCCTTCGAGCTGGAGCCCCGGCAACTCGTAAAGTCCTCCGCGGCTCTGTGCACCTCTGCCTACTTATTCGGGGATTAAAGGCGTGATGTTATGTATGTATGCGATTGTTTAAGTTTGTGTTACTGAATCGCAGAAAAATACAGAAGGGTTTATGGAAGTTAAATAAACTGAGTGGAATACCAATCAATTATCACATCTGACTGAAAGACTACATAATTAATCAATGACAATGATCTTCATATGAAAATTAAATCCTTGTAGCAAATATTTAATTGTTACAAGGATTTGACTCCTCTGGTGTCCATGGGCGGCGCTGATCGCTTACTCGTTTGCCTCCTATTCCATAAAAAAACGGACTTCAAAGAACCAAAAAATAACAACAAACAAAAATTCAAAACCAAAAAATAACTATTATTAGTATTGATAGGTTACCCACCCACTGATAGGTTAGAAGTCGCCATAAGTTCTACACAAAATTATTCATTAAAATCTTAATAGATACCTAATTTACAATTTTGTGGCTATTAAGTAACATCATTATAATATGAACCTCCTCCTTTTTATGAAGTCGGTAAAAAAGTCCAAGACATAGGTTTGCAGTTGGTAACAAATTAGGAAACCTTTTTTCTACTCATTACTAATTTCTTGATTTCTTGCTCGGTCTGTTGTATTATGACAAAAAGATTTGGTATCAGGGCACACATGTAAGATTGGAAGCCTCCAAAATATGAAGATACACATATAAACACACATTTCAAATTTTTGCGTTCGTAAGTCAAAAAACTGTTCATTAATTACAAAATGCTATACTTGCAAATGTAAGTTAACCATCCACTGGGTCAGTCTACTTCAAAACTCCGTTTTAGAACAGTGTTTATTGCATCACTAGCTTTAACGTTTTGTCTCATAGGAACATTTAATCACACCCTGCCTGTATACCAAATTTCATCAAAATCCGTTCAGTAGTTTCAGCGTGGTTGACGGACAAACATCCAAACAAAAAAGCTTTCACATCTATAATATCAGTGTGATTGTGTTAGTTTTGTCTTCCATCTACTCTATCTGCTGTATCAATTATACGGGGCCCCGGGTCACAGCCTCACAGGGGCCCCTTACGCGCGTAATGAAAAATTAAAATTTTGAAATCACACTAACCATAATAAGTTTTTTTTTCCTCATAAAGCATGCGTTAAAATATTGCTAGAAGTTAAGGAAGTCATCATAATCCGATTATTTGAGCAGAAATATGGGGGCTGCCTAGAAAGATTTCAAGGAGTGTTAAAAATTGGTAATTTTGTAAATTTTGATATACTCTCTCTAAATTCATCTTGGAAAAATGGCGACAACTGGCCTGTTACAATATTTTTTCTCTGTACATTTCATGGAAAAAACTTTTTCTATAAACAATTGAGGGCCCCAAACTAAAAAATTGTTTGATCCCCGCCAAGGCTCGGTACGCCACTGGACATAAATCCGACTTATGATGTTGGATGATAAAACCCAATAGAGCAAAATACTCTAAATGCAGGTTTTAATTATCATTTAAAGAAATAATGAACTCGAGCCAAGAATAAATGTGTACAGAAATATCCGCTGCCCAAAGAGACCGCTACCTTATTCCATACGAAATAGATGGACAAAACACACACAACGCAATGTTGAATAGCGTTAAATATCGACTATTAAAACCGATCTAGGACCGAACCAAAAGTAAAACTGAAAACTAATCACCGCAGATTAAATTGTATAGGTTGGGTCCGCAAACATAAAGCTAAATTTACAGATTATAAATCCCCAAAAGTCACATTATTTGTTAAGGGTGAATACATCAGGTTTGACATTGACATTGTCATGACTGGGAGTCCAGTGGATTAATTATTTATTGAGCCCTGCTAGGACAGGGGTCAAAAGGTTTTGAATATAACTGTACTCAAAATGCCTACTAATGTCAATCAAAATTATAAACGTGACCCTTGCAATGATACTTGACCTTCGTTTTATCTGCAGGTTTAGAAAGAAATTTTCACATTTAATCACACACATCACAGTTCATACATCCATTTAAGTGTGGGAGAGCCATGCTTCGGCACGAATGGGACAACTCGACCGGAATGATACCACGGCCTCACAAAAATCCGAAGTGAAGCAACGCTTGCGTTGTGTTTCGTCGTGTGAGTGAGGTTACCGGTGGCCCAATTACCCTCCCCTTCCCCAATCTCCCCAATCCCTGAATTTTCAACGATCCTCAAACTCCTAATCCCCAAAAATCCGGTAACGCACTTGTAACGCCTCTGGTGTTCCAGGTGTCCATGGGCGACACCGATTGCTTACCATCAAGTGATCCGTCTGTTCGTTTACCGGCCATAAAAAAAATCCTGGTAGGAAATGTGAACAGCGCGTGTATTCTGGCCGATGATGATCAAATTTGAATTAATGGTCAGTTTTTCTAGTTTAGTTCTGTTCAAAATAAGTCTTTCGAATAAAAGGGGAAATTTTAAAACAGACGAAAATGTTTTTTGCTAACAGGTGACACGATATGCACCACTGACGAAGTGAAAAAAATCTCTTAGGTAAAAAAAATCTGTCAGTTATGTGACGACTAAAATCGTTTAGTAGCCTTTGCAACTATGAATTAAAAACTTAATGGACATCTAATAGATTGTTAGCGACGGCAATACCATCATATATAGGTGAACACAATTCCTTATTTCTATTTTGCAGGTTTCTTTGACAGTAAAGTTAAGTCTTTTTAGGCGTTAATCATCATCACAGTTACCTAAACCTACCAACAGTAATTTTCTCAGCTAACCTCCTAGTTTTTCCCTCCCTGCAAAATTTCCTTCAACACCAATTTAAATTCAATGTCCCATTACCCTCCGATAGTCTCCAAGCTAATACAGAACACGATATTTTCTTCTGAGAGCAGAATTTAAATGATATCCACCCCAAATCGGGAGCAAATGTCGAGGCGGGCCGGGACTTAGCACCTCCGGCCCGGCTCACCGGGATTACGGCGGGCTCATAAACACGATTTAATGGAATTGAATCCCGTAAAACAGAACGGTTCGACGGCAGCCGGGATATCGTCGGCAAACCGTTTTATTGTCAGCTTGTCTTTGTTCGAGGAATGAGGGAGTTACAGTTATTGGGTGTGTTGTGTTGGTGGGATTGTCCGTCGATAGTTTTAATTGGACTTGTGATTAATGTCGTTTAAATTGAGGGGAAAATTAAAATTATCTGACGTGGTCAACGAGAGTACAACCACTAGTCTTTTTAAAAATATCATTATTTTTGCAGATATTAAGCCTGTTTATAGAATAAAGCTAGCACTATGACTGACTTACCTAAGTATTTAGGTACCTTGTAAATATTTAATTAGGTAATTTTTCAGGAGTTAAGGTTTTGGAAATGATTTTTGTTGTTGTATTTAGAGTGTAGGTAAATAAAACGTAGCGTTAAATCATTGAATTTAGAATCAAAATGGATCACTTTACAGTAACCAAGCAATAACCACTTTATAGTTGACTTTACTTAAAAATCCACAGGATTTTATAATTCGGAAATGTGTCGCACTATAACTTTCACCTAAATAATAGGTAGGGTTTTGAACTATTCAGATAATTTATGATTCAAGTTCTACCTGGTCTGTGATATTTGCATTTTTTCTGCTTCATCGGTCTAGCGGTCGCCAGAACGACCTCTACGCATGAGGAATTTTTATTTCGGAATTTAAGCAATGATAAGTGTTAATTTTTACGTTTCTGTCTTGTTGTAATTAACACAACCGAGGTGTAGATACTAATTGTAGATGATATACTACCCTTAAGAATACTGACTCACTGACTTCTGTAAGTTCCTACTAAGCCTACTCCAAGTGAAGAAACGTAGAATTTAGGAACTTACCTCCCAAAGCTGTCGCAGTGAGGTTATTGAGCATGGCCTCTAGGGGCCAACCCTGGCCGCCCCCTATGTCGACATCGTCCGCAACACAGCTGCACAAACCAATGGCTGCGGCCGCGGCTAGCACGAGCCACGCGCCGCCGCTGCAGCGCCCAGCATCATCAAACCAGATCACAAGTCCACTCTCCCGCGACACAAAAAATTCCAACGACACTCACGCAAAACGTCAAAAAGGACGAAATTCCAGCGAAAACCCGCCTTAATACAAAATAATTAGCGCTATATTAAACCCAATTAGTTTTAATTACGACTCCGTTCAAACTTATTTACACACTTAATTTTTGTTATAAAATTAATATAACCCGTTTAGTATCAATTTGTATAAATTTGCAGTTTGATTGGTTCGCCCTTAAAATGATCGTTTAATGTGGAAACCGACCGTCGACTGGTACAAAAACAGATAGTGCTCACATTGTTGCCGACCCTGCTCCGCCGAAAGCTCGACGCGAAGAAATATACCTGTCCCGCTCTAACGCACACTCCACACCAGACTGTCTCGCTCGTTTTGCACGCGTGCATCAGTAATGGATGCTTACATTTTGTTTACGTTCGATTTGAACAAACGAATAATCTATTATTTCATTCGTGCACGTATTATTGATACGGACCTTTCCCATTCATACAATATTCATGTACCGACATAACTACTTCCGTCTCGTTCATACTGCAGCGTTTAGTACGACGCTAGTGTAGTCCTGTCTCTTTCGCACACTGGTTTTGGATATCGAACGCATTCCTCGGTGGTGGCGGGCGACCAATCGGAGCGCAGAGAAATCACTTTGAAAGCGTGTAGGGCTGGCACCCAGTGTGCGATATTGAAATATTATTGCTATAGCGGGCACAGGGCGTTCCGTTCTTTTGTAATGGAAAAAACAAATACAGGCAGTGTGCTCGTGATATAGCTCGCTATAGTTGTGTTGTCCGAGGTAAATAAGAGTACTCGAATGAGATCCGTTGGAAATATTTCAGCTGGGTTGCGTTCGAAAACGTCGCAGTCTGAGTGCGATTTCTTGTAAAAGCGCCTTTAATTTTCGGACGTTGTTGAATAAGGAATGCGGGGGAATGGACACTTGACGAAATGGATACCGACGACTGTTTTATGTTAGCTTTTTGTTGTTTATCGAACCTTATATTTTATTTTGGTACCTACTCACTTACTGAGTACCTACTGAGTTGTTTCGCGTCGGTTCACAGGATGTTCTGGAGAGTTTTCTTCGATATGTAAACTTTAACATTGTTTGTTTTAGATTTCGTTTCTAAACTTTTTATAGAATCACCATTTATATTTCAGTAATCAAGGGTATATCTACAGTTAACATAATAAAAGTATGAAACATTTTGCTTAACTATCGCCTTACCCGGGTGGGAGAAGACATTGGATGATATTCCACCCTCAAAAAAAAAACTATAAAGATTTTTAAATTCTGTGAAAGGGCAATTAGAGGGGCATTCACCCTACAACATAGGTAGATACCCACTTATTCTATGACAATTAATTTTATCAAACATACACACACACACACACATGCACACTCACACAAGTAACTGTACACTTGGCTCCAATTGGCTCTTGATTTCACTTTGATGAAATTCCTAGTAGGTAGGTAGCGAGGATGTTACGCCGAAAGAATTTCATAAAATGTTTTATGAAAGCGGCTTCTGCTTCAGCAAAAAATTCCTCGCATTTTCAGCGAAACATATTTGAAATGCCTTTCAAATGAGAACCAGTCTTGGTTACAGTATAAGTACTTTGGGAGTTTCATCTAGGTTTAGTTTCCGTGTTGAGTAAATGTTTGTTTTAGTTTTTGAGGTATTATAATCCTTACTAATATTATAAATCTGAAAGTGAGTTTGTTTGTTTGTTCCGCTTTCACGCCGTAACTACTAAACCAATTGCTTTGAATTTTTGCAGACGTAAATTTAGAAGTCTGGATTAAATAAAAGGGTACTTTTTATCCTTTAGTGACGCGAGCGAAGCCGCGGGTAACAGCTAGTATGTTTATATTAAAACTTTCGTGGGACATACTAAATTAATTATTATGTTTTCGGCTTACTCACGTAGGTAACTGTTTGGTGTGGAACTCGACTAGTTTCAAACCATGCTAGAGGCTCATATTCATGAGCAACATTCCCCGACCCTCGACGCGGCGCTCGCGGTGCTCGTCAGTCTCTAGTCGAGTCCCTCGTCAAACAGTTACGTGAGTAAGCCGAAAACACAATAATAATTATAATATAGACCTTAGTCTTGTTTAGTTAATAGCTTGGACCTTATTTTTATCGCTGTACCTTTCATGGGTCTTATACAAACTAGGTAATACTTGGTAACAATTAGAAGTTTGAATAGGTACCTACCTAAACTGTATCTACCCATTGATAGTATCGTAGGTTAAAAATATTCAGTTATTAGGTACTTTAAACATAAAGTACATATTGTAAGCGAGTACAACATATTGTAATATTAATAGCAAGTAAGTATGCTATTTACAATTTAATGTAAATACTTAACGACATTTCGCCTGTCATACCTAGTAGTTTCTTGATGTGAGTTTTGTGTAGTTATTGTAGAGCACAATACAAGTCTTTCATCCCAGAAATTTGATGATATAAATAACATAACACGAAGCCCGTTTTCCAGCATTCGTACATTACAACCACTCTACCGACCGCGACGTGGCAGATATTACGAATTTTTGTTTTTATTAAAACCATATTTTATTCAAAGCTACGTAAGAGACCAACTATGAGTCTAATACAAAATTTAATATAATCCTAATCTTCTAGACTTATAAATTTTATTATTATACAAAGTATCATGGCGCGAGGGGTGCTCTGATCGCTACGCCGTAGCCGCGCGCCGTAGCGAGGCGGGCTACGACTACTACGAGCTACGACGCTAATTAAAAGCGTTGAATTAATACTTTTGCTTTTGTATTTCTTTGAAAGTGAATGAAATTAGTTTTAATAGTGGTAAACACACTTCCCTATTGTTAGAAATATACGTACTACGTAGACATAAGTTATAGAGATTGAAGGCGACGTTTCTTGATTTCAGTGTAAGTAATATTAACTCATTGGCCAAGTGGTCGCTAGTGCGACTGACGGGCAAGGGGTCTCGGGTTCGATTCCCGGGTCGGGCAAAGTATTACTGGGGTTTTAAAAATCTCAGTAGTAGCACGGAGTCTGGAAATGTGCCCGGTATATGGCAATAGGCTCACTCTCTATTACATGGGACTCGTAACATAAATAGTGAAAAGTGGGTGTTACATTGTACAGTGGCATTAAGTGCTGAAATGTGCATCTCTGCCTACCCCTTCGGGGATCAAAAGGCGTGATGTTATGTTATGTAATGTAAACTCATTACCATCGTTAGTATGAAAAAGTCCACTACTGAAAGAAGACGACAGAGGCCAATATTAAGTCTACTTTATAACTTTGACAAAAGAGAAGAGTTGAGAATCTGTTAGAGATTTGAGATTCCTATGGGTTCAATCAATCTGTCAACTGGCATTCTTAACATGACAGCCTGATACTTACAAACGCGGCAATGCCCCGCTACGTCACCGAGTCACACACTGTGACGTCACTCGTGTAATTGCAATATATTGCATTCTATTGTTCAAAGTACCTACGGCTGGTGTTACGGTACAGGAATTGTGGTCACACAGGATCTTGTTTCAAACATTAAGTATTCCTCGTGGTCTTGTTCTTCAAGCATGAAGGTGACACTACAGTAAAATAAAGTTCATTCTATACCGTAGTAAGTAGTTTAAGTGTGGGATAGCCATGGTTCGGCACGAATAGTCTTACAGAAAACCGACGTGAAACAACGCAAGTGAGTCCAATTACCGCTTCCCCCCTCTCGCCAATCTCCGCAATCCCTGAATCCCCATCCCCAAAAGGCAAGTAACGTACTTGTAACGCCTCTGGTATTACCGGTGTCCATGGGCGACGCTGATTGCTTACTGATGGTAATGAATGATCCGTCTGCTCGTGTACCGGCTTAAAAAAAGTAACGAAAAAAATTCCATAACATTAAATTCTAATCTGTTGCTATGCCACAATTCGTGAACCCTCCTATATTCAGGTAAGAGTGAGTGCAATAAAATGGCGCTCAACTGGCGCTGGAACATTGGCACAATATGTGAGTTTGTGACTGCCCGCTTTGCACTCAAGTGTACTCGTTATACTCAGTACTCAGTTGCACTCAGTGCTCGACTATTGTCGAAAGTAAGCATGAGACCTATGTGAGTTCAACTTAGCAAATTATAGATAAACTTTACAGCGCATCATAACTGTTACTATGTTTCAACTGCCTCATTGCGTGCATAACTTGATGAATGATTTTTTGACTGCACGGTTGGCGCGGTGGCTGGGCAACTGGCTGCCGTGTATCGTGTAGCGGGTTCGATTCCCGGATGGAGCAACTCTCACACAAATTGTAATTTCGGGTCTAGGTGTCATGTGCATGTAAAATTGCATGTTTATAAACTCACCCACGACACATGAGAAAATCGTTTAAAAAAATGGGTTCATTAAATTTCTTATGTGATATAGTAAACAGCTTCTTGGTAAACTAAAATATTCCATATGTATTCCAAACATTGCAAACATATAACAATCGCCTATAATATCCGCGCGTATTATTTATGCAAAGCTTACAAACAAACGTACGAACAACGAACACCTCCGTGGTACAGTTAGCATTGCATAAATACATAAATATACAAGGTGTGTGCAAACAGTTCACTAATCGTGACGGATTAAACAAACTCTTGGGGTTTCACTTAGCACCACTTAGCACTGCCGACCAGATTAACAGTAATGTGTCTTTACTTAAAACTAATGCAATTACTGCGCCAGACAGTGATGCCGCTATACGAGAGACAAAGATAAGAATAACATACAGCGTGTTACCTTTCGATAGCAATTGATCTGGGATCCCTAGAAGTGGGGAAACTTGTTGCCCAGTGATTGGAA